TGGCTAAGGGGAATTTTATGCCCTCCATGAATGGAGGTTTTGTTAATCTTTAACGACATCTTCATTGCAAGAATAAACACTTAAGTCGTGTTTCTACGACAAATTTGTATTGTGTTTGTTGATTTTAATCAACAATAAAAATGTTGGCTTTTGCACTCGCTGCGTTTGCAACGTGAGAAAGTAATTATGAAACAAACATGGGAATTATTTGTTAGAATAAAAATGTGAATTACGGTTTTACTCTCGGGTGAAACTTAATATATTCCAGACATTTATTCACAAAATACGTCACGTTTATCATTCCATTTTGCAAATGAAATTTAAATAATATTATTATTCCGTTCGGCTTTATACTTTATACCGGTATTGTGAAAGCACCTGATTTTTTACTTAAAAGCATAATGTTGTGATTTAGAGCACTGGGGAAGAAAATAACTATAAAAAGCTCATCACCCTTTGAATTTTTTATGACATTCCTTGCAAAATATTTTTTTAACAAATAAATGCTAGGTTTTTTTATTAGTTAGTAAAATTAAACTACAGTTAGGGCTAGCCTTTAACGTTTCATTTTGCATTGTAAATGTGAGAAATTTTTGTTTGTGTTAAAATCGTTATTTAGAATTTTTTGTCGGGGCAAAATGCAAATTCAAGCAATTTTACACAAATTTCGCGACACTGTCAAATTATTTTTATTTTATCAGTAATTGGAAGAAATAATGGAAAAACTCACCCTTATGCGAAATTATTAAAAATAATTACTCTGCCTTGACTCATGCAAATCAGTAGGTGTGTCGCCAATACGTTTTTTCCTCTGTCAGACTAATTGGTACTAATTTTCCAAGATGTAATTACTTGTGTGAAATAATGAAGTTGTCAAAGATTTTTCTCTTGCGTGACTTGTTCAAGTAACGAACAAAAATGATTTAAAACAAGCTCCAGTAACATTTATAACACACATGTCTGCAATAACGATTTATCACTTCGCGTTACCGAAAATGCTGAAAACCTTAAACGATTTTACTTGCGTTTCCTCGCGGGTTTCGAATTTATTTTAATGTACGATTGAATTGTTGAATTGAATACTGCCAATCATCACATGTTCGGTGGAATTGAAGGGAAAAAGTGCCTTCGAAAACGAATTTATTTTTTAATACGAATATGAAAAACTAGCCGCGGAAATACGCCAAAAACTGGATTGAATGAAACAATTTGAACTAAAATAAATCATTTGAAAATTGCAAAAATAATCATTTTGAAAGCTTGTGAATCTCACATACACGTAATGTAACAATTAACTTTTTTGTTATCTCATTGTGAAAATTCAGCACTCTGGTTAATGTGATGAATGATCAATCAATCAAAAACGTTGTTTTACGTAAAAAATGTTTAAATGAGAACAAATAATTAATTTTTCTGGTCATGGTTTGATTTTTTTAAGTGAAGAGGCAATTCAATTAAAATAAATTAATTACAATATTGACTTTTTTTCATTCATAGTTGTTCAATGAGATATTATTTATGTATACAATATTTATTTATAGTTACTCTGTGGTATGTGATTGTAAATAACGTGCAAAGCTTTCATGGATTATAAAACAAAAATCCGCTTTAAAAATACATTTGTTTAAATATAGCCACAAGATTTGTGTTTTGTAGCGGTTATAAATTAAGGTAACGTGTTTTAACACGTAATCATTTATAAATTTGCACAGCGGATATTTGAAAACAATAAATTAGTAATTTAAATTAGTCTATTTTATTTTAGTAAATATAGTAGGTTCATAATTTATTAATTTATTTTCTGTTACAAGTTGTTTCAAAAATGTTAAAAATTGTCTATCTAATGCAGTTGTTTATCAACATAGTTTTGTTTTTTTATTATTTTTAAAACATATTTATTTCCAAGTTAAATTTTTGGTGGATGCGCCGGGATAATAAAATTACAATCTTTTTAGTTTATACTTCAAATACATAATTATAATTTATATAAATTAGAAATTATAAAAAAATATGTAGGTTGATTACAAATATCAAAAGTTTAAAAAAAATAAATTTGTTAATGTGTGTAATGTATTGTTGCAACTAGTAATGTAAATTAGTATATGCCATTTTAAAGAAAACAATCAATTATTACTATTTGTATATTTTATGTTAGCAATTTAAGTTAGAAAAAAATAAGTGAAAGAGTTGTGGATTTTAAAATTTCTGTTTTACAAAATGTTGAATAAATTTGTTTTTCAGGAAATGCATAATTATTTAATTTTATTTTTTAGACATTACATTTTTATGATGTTATATTGAAATAAATAAATTTCTTATTACTAAAAGTTTTCTCTAAACCATTTGCCGAATTAAAAAAAACTATTATTAAATTTTGATGTATGCGCCGGGGTAATAAATTAAAACCTTTTCAGATTTTACCACAATTTAATAAACAATTTAAATGAACAATTTGCATGAGATAATTATTTTGTGTTGAATATGGTAACTTCTGTATAAAAAAATGAAATTCAGATTTCATAATATAATCATCGTTTTTTTCAGAATTTTAAAATTTGTGACAAACATATTTGTTCAACAACACACAGTGCCTCTGTTTGAGCTTTATTTAAAAACTCAAAAGCGTTTTCTTTTAAAAACTTTACATTATTATAGTCCTTTTTTGACCTATTTTAGGAGAACAACAGTAATAGTAGTATAGCAACATATAAATTAAGGTAACGTGTTCTAACATGTAATCATTTCTAAATTTGCACAGCGGATATTTTAAAACAATAAATTAGAAATTAGAAATTAGAAATTTAAATTAAATCAGTCTATTTTATTTTAGGAAATATAGTAGATTTATAATTTATTAATTTTTTTGTGTTACAAGTAAAC